AAGACAACATCATCCTGAAGTTTGCAGAGGACACCGCAATGATAGGTCGCATCACTGGTGAGGATGAAACAGCCTACGGGGGGGGAGGTGGCCAGTCTGGTGTCATGGTGCAAGGACAATAATCTCAGCCTCAACACGGACAAGACGAAGGAGATGATAGTGGACATGAGGAAGGAGAGAAGATCTCATCGGCCGCTGTTCATCCGTGGGCTCGAAGTGGAGAGGATGAGCAGCTTCAAATACCTGGGCGTCCACATCAGTAAGGACCTCACTTGGACACATAACACCACACAGCTGGTCAAGAAGGCCCAACGGTGGCTGTACTTCCTGAGGAGGCTGAGGAGGTTTGGCATGTCACCTAGGATTTTTTGCAACTTTTACAGCTGCATCATTGAGAGCATCTTGACCAGCTGCATCACTGTCTGGTATGGCAGCACTGTGGTAAAGACTGCGGAGAAGATCACCAGGACCCCACTGCCCTCTCTGCAGTGCATTTACCATCGCAGGGTGCGTAGAAAAGCTGCCTCCATCCTCAAAGATCCCACCCACCCCCAGCATGAACTGTTCGCCTCCCTACCCTCTGGCCGGAGGTTCAGAAGTGTGAAATGCAGGACCACTCGACTGGAAAACATTTTCTTTCCCTCTGCCATCAGACTCCTAAACAGCTGACAGGAGTTTATTACCAGGAAAATTTGTTACTTATTTATCTACTTTATATTTCATTTGTATTTTGTGGCATTCATGTGGATGGCAAAGTAAGAATTTCATTGTACAGGGGAACACGTTTTCTGACTGTGGATATGACAAATAAACACTTTGACCTTTGACCTTTAGGATAGATTGGCTCTGCACTGACCTGCCTGATGAACTGTAAAGTATCATCTTTTGAATTACTTTTAAAAATGTATTTTTATAAGAATTTTGTAACATATATGTGCTGACACATACCTATTTCACACTTTTAAGGTATGTATTCTTTTTTATTATGTACATTTGAGAAGGCTGTGGTGTGTTCTACAACCTTTTTCATGCAGTTAGCCCTAACTGGATATCACAGGTACAGTGACTCGTGTTGCAGCAGTTACAGGTAAAGTGATTTTGTTGCAGAGGTCACAGGTAAACTTTTGTGGATTAGAGGTTTTACATTTGGGCCTGTATTTTCATTGTAGTCTGTCTAGCCTGTTTGGTTTTAATTGTGCATACAATTAAATACCATTAAAACTTCACCTTAAACAGTAATACCGCTCATAGACTCATTTAACATTTTAGCCATATCACCCAGAAGTGTCCTTTATTTTTGTTGTAAATTAAA